AAGATTTTTAATGTGATAATTTTGATTTCAGTTTTTGTTGACCTTTACGCAATGTAAGGGCCAGGCAAGTAGGGTGGAGGGATGGCAGCAGATAGCGCCACGGGCGCAAAACGTGGTGGGTACATTATGTTCAATAATTATTATATTTACTAGATATATTTGTGTCAAAACTTAATACAATTATTTTAGATCGGACCTCATTCGACTGCTATGAAACACAAATTTCTAATATATGACGACCAATTGACAATTTATGATTTCTAAAAAGACAAAAGACATCATATATTTCCAGCTAGGAACAATTTTTACTGGAAAATTCAATTTTCGTTTTTAGTAAACTTTTCTTTACTTCCACAAATATTTCTAGATCAATTGTAGTCAAATCAGTCCAGACTCCAGACATCGTGGAGTTTGAGCAACACAAACAAACAGCAATTTTTATATACATATATAGATTTTATTTTAGACGGTTAACAGACACATAAAATATATACTTATACAGGGTATCTAAAATACAAGTTATGTTTTGTTACTACTCTGAAATTGCTTCACATTACACATTTTTTTAAAAAAGATCAGAAAACAAGTAGACAGATTTAGATTTTAAAAGCCAACGTGCTTCTATGCTCGGGAGTTCTTAGATTGTGGGTTTTATACTAACATGAATAAAAATGAATCGCAAAATATGTTGCTAAGCTCAAAACTCGAGGAGGGCTGGACTAATTCGAGTAACTTTTCATCTTCTTTTTCTCAACGCAACAGTTTAATTATATAAATCATTTTATTTCAATGGTGGTAAAGATGCGAAACAGACGTACCCAAATTTAGGGTTGCGGGGGGTGAGGAGGGGGGGGGGGGGTGTAGTAATCACCCCCCACAAATTTTGCGCTTAGGAAACAAAAAAAAAAAATTTTTTTTTTACAGTACTTAATCTGAAAATGAGCGCAAGAAATCAGTGTCTAGTATGTATGTAAAGCCAAGTTTTAATAAATGGTAATAAAATAACGCACATTCACGCAAAAATAAAAAAACCTAAAAAGTAACGGCTTTTTAACTTATAATTTGCACTTGATCACTGTGAACACACACTGTTCTGGCAAAATCCACATTCGAAATGGCCGATTGCGTTTATACTTTATAAAATGAATAGGGATGTGAAAAATAATCTATTCTGTGAAAGTGAAAATCGATTTTAGTATTCGATTTTGAATCCGATTTTGTATTCGATTTCGAGTTTCAGTTAAACAGTTATTTAAAAAAAATATTAATATACGGTTAGTATATTAATATAATCTTATATTTATATAACTTAACCGATCTAAATAATATTTGTTTTTTTGGACAGCTCCGATCTAAATAGTAATTGTTTATTCAAGCCTCGGCTTCTCGGCGTCCTGGTCGCCGAAGGCGACCAAATATTCATATACTAACCTAACCTAACCAATCTAAATAATATTTGTTTTTGTGGACAGCTCCGATCTAAATAGTAATTGTTTATTCAAGCCTCGGCTTCTCGGCGTCCTGGTCGCCTTCGGCGACCAAATATTCATATACTAACCTAACCCATCTAAATAATATTTGTTTTTGTGGACAGCTCCGATCTAAATAGTAATTGTTTATTCAAGCCTCGGCTTCTCGGCGTCCTGGTCGCCTTCGGCGACCAAATATTCATATACTAACCTAACCTAACCCATCTAAATAATATTTGTTTTTGTGGACAGCTCCGATCTAAATAGTAATTGTTTATTCAAGCCTCGGCTTCTCGGCGTCCTGGTCGCCTTCGGCGACCAAATATTCATATACTAACCTAACCAATCTAAATAATATTTGTTTTTGTGGACAGCTCCGATCTAAATAGTAATTGTTTATTCAAGCCTCGGCTTCTCGGCGTCCTGGTCGCCTTCGGCGACCAAATTTTCATATACTAACCTAACCTAACCCATCTAAATAATATTTGTTTTTGTGGACAGCTCCGATCTAAATAGTAATTGTTTATTCAAGCTTGTCGCCTTCGGCGACCATATATTCATATACTAACCTAACCCATCTAAATAATATTTGTTTTTGTGGACAGTCCGATCTAAATAGTAATTGTTTATTCAAGCCTCGGCTTTCGGCGGGGGGCTTTGGGGGACAAATATTCATATACTAACCTAACCTAACCCATCTAAATAATTTTTTTTTGGACAGCTCCGGCGCTACGGGAAATGCAGCCCCTCCACCCTTGCGTACCAAAGCACAGGCATTTTATTCAAGCCTCAGCCGCTACAGCTTTCATAATGCCTGTGCTTTGTTACAGCGGGTGGGGGCTGCTCTTCCTCCGCGCCTCCGATTATTTATATACACTCTAGGGGTAAGGCAGACAAGACCACGTGGATAGTGGGGTGCTCTGATTCGGTTTTGGGTACTTTTTGAATAATTTTCGGAACCATACATTAATTAAAACATGAAGTTAATGTAATGTATGTACATTTGACAAGTAATGCTTAAATTAGGTTCAACTATAAAATTAACAAATGAGGAAATAATCGATTCGATTAGGTTCAACTTTAAAAACAACAAATGAGAAAATAATCGATCCGATTAATTTACCGAAAATGTCACCATCACTTATAACCAATAGAAAACGACAATGACACATCACTTATAACCAATAGAAATCGAGAATGTCACATCTCTTATAACCAATAGAAAAGTAGTTAGATAATGGCGGATTGTTTACAAATTTCAATACAATTCACAAAAGTTAAAAAAATTTTTTTAAATACTTTGACGCTTATCCTAAAGCTAAAATCACTTGGAGGTGTTCCAATCAAGGGTCCCCGAGACTCCTGCACAATCAGTATCATCAAATTCAGGTGCGTTTGACTCACACCCAACCCTCAATGGTTTTTATATTTATTTGACATTTGCATGCTAATGTAATATGGCTGATGTGAGTAATTCATCCATCATAATATGTAACTTTCAAGACAAATAAACGATTTATTTATTTAGTTATACTAATGTGTGCATGCAGTGGCGTAACTATATCATCTGGGGCCCGTGGTAATTTTCTTTGATAGGGCCCTATCAGTAAAAATCGTCACCTTGTACTCAGTTTATTTTTAATATCTAAACTTCGAGATTTTGAGCGTACTCAATTACCCGTTGTATATGTCCCACTAATGGCCATAGGCCTCCTCTCTTAGGCGAGAGAGAATGGTCTGTAGTCCCCACTCTACTCCATTTCGTATTGGACTTCACATTAATCCATAGAACATAATATCACTAGGGCAGGGGCCCTCTTTGGTCGGGGATCCGTGGCATTTTGCCAGCTCTGCCACTCTATTGTTACGTCACTGCTAATAGGTACCAACCAATACATGACCCTCAAAATAAAAAATAAAATATGTTTATAATGGAATATAAGATACAGGTATCACTTATCGTCATTAAATTGTTACGGTAGACATCCTTACTCATCGGCAAAGCTGACAGAGGGTGTAGGCCGAGAGAAAAAGCCGGCATAAAAAACTTGGTACTCTTTTAAAATATCAAATCATCATACAAAATGACTAAACAACACTTATTTTAAATCAAATATCGCAAATTAATTAAAAGTAGCCTGTCTAGCACTAGTCTCAGGCCCTTTTATCAACTAGATATCGTTAACTTTATAGTAAGCCTTTTTACACAGAAAGAGCCTCTGGGATTTTATTAAAGAAAAGTATCCCTTTTAAACCCACACATACACAAATTCCAAACAGCTACGTAGCGCTGCTCAAGTTATAAACAAAAGTGTATTGTGACTAATCGATTATATTCGATTGCGTATTGTTCGCGACATTTGTACCGCATATATGTCACAGAATCATAGACAATGGTGATGTTTTAACGTATTTTTATCTGTTATCGCGTTTATTATTTATTAATAACGTTGTTATTGATAAGATACGGCGTGTGCTAGTAATAGATAAATATTGCATCATATCTACCGATAAGACGACGAAAAATTTGTGATAATTGATAAACCAAATAGTTGATTTACGAGAGTATTACTTCAAAAATATTTAATTCTGCAGAATTCTTCCTTTTTTTTTTCTTTTCGCCCATGGCGCCTGGTCTTTCGTCAGAGACTAATTGCGTAATTTTATAATAATTAAAATTTCGTAGAATCATTCAATTTCTGTCAAAATGTGTTTAGAGTCGGAAATAAAACCGTCGTATGAGGTCGCTGCAGTGTTAACATTTTTTATTATATTGCTGTTACGTTTAATTACTTCTTCATTTATTTACACTTAGTTACCTTAACAATACTTATAAAAAAACAGGTTACATAAGTTATTAGGCAACGGGGGGCCACTAACTGGTAATTTCTTCCAGGAAACACCAACTGGGAGTAAGGTACAAGTGTAAAAAATTGACAAATAAACAACATACATGTAACACTAGAAATACTAACTAAAATTAAACTAAACTAATAACTAAAATATATTAATAAAAATATACGTTATTATAGTTCGACAGTCATATTGATACTTAATATGAAACAATAAATTATGTTTGTTATTAATCAAAAGATGCGCAGTAATTTTATATAATTTATAAATTTCACGCTAATTCCCTTTCCGCACTTCTACGCTGCGAGGAAGAGATCAGGCACGATAAAAATAATTGAATAGCTATCGTAATAGACAAGCGACATTTATCTATGGAAGACTTAAGTTAAAGCACGTGTTCAATTGTTAAGTATTCGTAAATGTTAATAGTCTCGAAAGTTCTTTCCATACAATTTGTATAGAGCATTTGTATAGTATGTTCTACCACAATTCTTTACTATACAAGAATGTATCATTACTATTCTCTTACGTTAGCATTTCGATTTCAAACATTGTTGGAGCTTTAGATGAAGCAGTGAAATTTGAGTATTTACGTTTTAAAAATATATATTTACGGTTAAAGGCCTAGTGCTTTAAATAAACTTGAAGGTGATATCATTGTACTTAACTAAAGAAAACATGACTGGTAAATATTCATATACAAAGCGAAGTAAGTCTTATCATTAAATGATAAGAATGTATTACTTGTTATCATACATTTTAAAATTATTTTTAATTGTGACTGGGTCTTTAATTTAACTGGGTCTTTAACCTAACTTTTTTAATATAATAATGACATAATGTTAGATAATATTTAATAATTATAATGACAATAATGTTAATAATAATGATATAATAATGATGATAATGATAATAATAATGATAATAACAATAATAATGATAATAATGATAATAATGATAATAATGATAATAATAATAATAATAATAATAATAATAATAATAATAATAATGATGATAATGATGATGACAACGATGATGGTGATTATGATATAGCCTAAATATAAAATATTGCCTTTAATTCAGATACATTTAAACACATTTCCATTTTAATCCTCTTCTAGTGTATCTGTGTGCCCCTTTTTGGCAAAGGCCTCCAAATCCCGCCATTCCTCTCTGCACAGTGCCACTCTCTGCCATGTATCACCTGCTGTTTCTTTAATGTGGTCTATCCACCTTCTAAGTTGTCTCCCTCTTTATCGTATCTGTACCTTGGGCACCAGTTTGTTTCTGTTCCTCTTGCCATGTGTCCTACCCATTTCCACTTTAGCTTATTTATTGTTATTGTAACATCTGTTACCTTAGTTACCTTAGTTTTCTTATCGCTGTATTCTTTATTTTGTCTCTTCTTTTCTTCCCTATCGTTCCATATCTTTGACACATTTTTTTATATCAAGCCTTATTGCCAGTATATATATTAACACTTATTTAAGTTAGTAACTAAACTTTAATTATCATCACCTTGTGACCCTTTTAGAAATGGCGTTTTACGACACATAGGCCTCGTCCAGCTGCTTCCATTATTTCTGATGTTAGCTCTTCTTGTCAAGTTGTGCCTCCTAGTCTCTTTATTCGGGCTGCGGCTGGAGCGCTCGCGCTGTCTTCCTCTTTTCCTTGTTCCATGCGTGGTTGCCATTCTGTAATACCACAACCTGCTATCTTGTCTGTGCCCGTCTGGCATTTAGAATGCCTAGTAATTCAACTTTGGTCGCGACAAATCTCTTCTGCTCTTTTTCGGTGTCTCAGGGTGTAACCCATATTTTTTAAATAGCAAACTTTAATTTTCAGGGTCAGGAACTATTTGTGTGGGTGGGGGGGGGGGGGGGGGGGGGGGGGGGGGGGGGGGGGGGCCCGGAAAAGCGCTATTGCTCCTCTGGATGGAACAAAATCATCTTTAAACAAGTTTTTGATTTTGAAAAGAAGATGGCGAATGATGTTAAATAGAAAGAGGGATAGTTTTATTATATAATTGAGTAGAATTTGAAATTTGTAGCAAATCGTCACGTTTTTCGCTATTTTTCCTTTCGGTTCAATTCCTTTTTGTATACCATACGTTCCAGTTTTGTATGCTATAGTGTTTTTCAGTAATACACCATACACATGGCGCGGAGCTGTTGTCTTCGTACAGAACAGCGTGTCTCGCGAGGGTTGGATCGCATTATGGCGCGGAAACAGCGCGACCATGGCTCGCATAATACCGTACGCTGCGATACAGTTCACAGCTCACGAGCAATGGAAACGGTTGCTGGGTGTTGACACACCGCATACCGCTCAGTACGTATACCCTTTATAATTTCTCTATAGCAGGCTTACACAGTCATTTCAATTCTAGAAAACAAATGAAAAGGACACCCAACTTCAATATGTGGATTGGTTTTTGACTTCACTGCTCAAACAATCTAAATAGGTGTCTACTGTCTAGTTCAGTGGACAGTTCTGAAATTTATTGATAAGAACGTAAAACATTTTATAAATACATAATTGTAATATTTTTGAAGTTATTTTGACAGGTTAGGGAAAAATGATGAGAGTAAATTTTTACGATGCGCGCGCACACGTCACAAAATACCGATACCCTGTTTTAGCTAGACACCCCAAGTTAGCTATTTAATTATTACATTTTGGTTTTTTTATTGTTATTGTCTTTTTTTCTACAAACGTAGAATAAAACTTTTGAAATTATTTTTTCTTGTTACGTCAAAGAAGTATAACTTCTAACGCGTGTAGATAAGTACACACACTTTTTTTGTGTCAATCTAGTCCAAACCCATTAAAATATTAAATCTTAAATACACTTTCTAAAACTACGTTTCGCTAACGCGTTTTAAACTTAGCGCCGGTATGAACAACGCCATCTGTTGATAAAAACGATCAAACTAGACAGGCACTTTGATTGGAAAGTTTGAAAGCTGCCAATTGGTTAATCGTACATATTATGAAAGTACTCTTCAAGCTGGTACCATAAATTACAGAGAGGCGCCCTTTCGTCATCTGATAGCGGGATCCCTTGCTGGAGTTACCTCACAGAGTGCCACTTACCCATTGGATCTGGCGAGGGCACGTATGGCTGTAGCGGACTACAGATCTCTTAGGGCGGTCTTTGTAAGGATATTGAGAGAAGAAGGGGCGGTTACGTTATACAGGTAGGTTTTAATTTATAATGTAAGTTTTCTAGATACTGATTTAGCCTCTGCGCAAACTCTCTTAACCGGCCATCTAAGCAGAGTTCGGTCGGTCAAAAAAAAAGGTTTTATTGCTATTTTCTCCGAGAAATTGCTATTCTAGATTAGTACTTCAAGCTGTCCTGCTGCTGTTCTAATGATTCTCTGGTCATGGATATCCGTTCTATCGTATTGTGGGAGTTATGGAATAGAGCGAACATGTGTATGCACTATAATATCATCTACGTAATCATTTTATGAAATGACCAATTTCGCTATTCACGCCCAAACCCCAAACTATCTGTCCGGGCTGAAGATATATTTTGTAATGTTGATGACAAAACATTAAATAATTATTTACCTTAATGACCAGACTCATTTCTATTGACACTGGCCATTCTATAACTCATACTGTTGGATGAATGGTTTGACGAGTAATATAATACACCAGTAGGAAGAGTTCAACCATTGTACTACAAATCTTACCCTTATGTTTCAGGGGATACGGTGCTACAGTTCTGGGAGTTATTCCCTACGCCGGTGTTTCATTCTTCACGTACGACTCGCTCAAGCATTGGCATCTTGGTTAGTAATTTATATAGTATTGTCTTTGATTAACATAACCTTTACACATTTAAAGAAAAAACTTTTTAACCGGATTAAAGTTATGTATTGTTACGAAGACGGGTCGACTGCAATGTTTCTAGATTTTTCCACTACTTAGAGAACTTTTCAGCAGGCTGAAATGTGATTTCTCACGTTTCAGGGGAGGGTCAATCACATATTCGAAAATCGGAATTTAAAGAATGTTACCCTAGTTTTAGGGGTTTCGAACACGTGTAGTCGAGTGGTACACTTTTCAGGAAACCCGTTTTCAGGCGTTTTCAGGCCTGGTTATACCCCTTTGATGAAGGAATGTTCTAGAACGAATTTTCACGAATTTGAACGAACGAATGTAACAGTATTATTATAAATTTACAATTATTTAACATAATTTTAAATTTATCCGACGTTTCGCGTGCTTTACAGCGTGCATGGTCACGGTGACTGAAGACAAAAGGTGTTGGATGTCAAAAAGTATCACAGCTGTAGAGAAAGTTGCATTATCTGTATTTATTTCCCCGAGTTGGTATCTTCTAAAACATGGAGGGTTTTTGCAAAAATGGCTCAAAGTGTCCTCTATTTTCTCGGATTGTTTTTCTTGAGATTTTAATTTAGATATTATTGGATCCCAGGTGTTTGACAATTTTAGGCCGTCTTTTCTATTGAAATTGGGGTGTTTTTGATTTCAATGGCTTCGCGTACCAATCTTGGGAAGAATCTTTTTTCTTTCGCAAGTACTTTCGGTTGGTCAAAGCGTATGTAGTGATTAGGCCTATCTAGTATGTGTTCACAGACTGCTGATTTTGTGTGTCGTCTGTCTTATGTCGGCAATGTGTTCTTTGAGTCTGCTGGACATATTGCGTTTAGTTTGCCCTATGTAAGACAGGCCACAGTCGCAATCCAGTTTGTATATACTAGTTGTGAAGGGTGGTGGTGGGATTCACCATTGATAATAATAAATTTAATAAGTTCTACTAGGAAGAGGTACTGAGGATATTTAAAAAAAATGATTTTTCAATATACAAATAATAATTTAATGATGTAAAAATGCTTTTAAAATTAGAAATCGCGTAAGTAACAGACAATATAACATATAGTATAACCCAAATTCGTAACTACTAAATATAAATATGTAGTTGTTGGCTTTGAAACACATTAAATGTGTTTAATAGTCTGGCGGACCCGTAAAAGTTAGAGTCAGCGCAGAAAGGGTAATTGTAAATGTATGGTGTTATAATAAAAATTATGACTCACCTAGTACAATTTTTTTTGGAAAAGTAGTATAAAAGAGCCTTTACAATATTAGAAACTAAAAATTGGTTGCGTTCCAAAACACATATTCTAACAGGAACTTCGGGTTTGAGGTCGCTGCTGTGTTACTTTTTTTGTTATTTTGACAGTTACGTTATTATAGTTCGACTTTAATCTTGATACTCGACGAAAATTATATAATTATAAAAGTATATATTTTTTGTTTAATTAATTAAATTACTAGTAATAAATAAATAAAGGTCATATTATCGTAACTGACATTGTCTCTTTCCGCACAGAATCTTTATATCTATGCAAGGTCATAAATAATTAAATTAGCTTCAACAATCATTATACAATTATATGTGTCTGTTTTATTCGTAAATCGAAATAATTTTAAAACATATTTTAGATAATTTAAAATTGTTTATATATTAAACAGAATTGCTTAAATTTTTCCAGTATTTTTTCAGATCTTGTTATAAAAAAGGATTTTTTTTTAGATTATGCAGGTACAGCCCCCCACGGCTTCACAAATGTTTTATTCGGAGGTATAGCTGGGGCTTTGGGCCAAACGTCGTCCTACCCACTGGATATCGTGCGCAGGCGCATGCAAACCGCAAAACGAGCGCCTGATGGCACATACCCCTATCCGGCCATATTGCCTACTCTAGCACATATTTACAGGTAAGATATTGTTTTACCAAAGTTTGCTCTAAGATTGAAACCCATGGCAAAGGTATTGTTTAAAAAAGATGTGCTTAAATTATTCTTTTTGATAAACGGAAACATTAAAATTAATAAGAATATGAACCGATTATAAAAATGCTATATATTATACACCTTTAAAATTAACATTTAACTTACAGACAATCATAAAATACAGTAAAATACAGACGTTGTCCTGTACACATACCTTATATCTATCTAATTGTATACATAAATCATTCCATTCTCGATTCCACTTGAACACACAAAAATTTCATCAAAATCGGTCCAGCCTTTTAGGAGTTTAATTACAAACACGCACAGAAGATTTATATATACATATAAACATTCCAACACTTAAAATATATATTGAAAATTAATAAGATTTCAATATATATATATAATTTTTATTAACGAAGAAAATCCTGGAATGATTCCAGAACTGAGGGCTGGCGGGCATTTGTCAAAGGCCTGAGTATTAATTGGATTAAGGGACCTATAGCTGTTGGCATATCGTTCGCGACATACGACCAGATCAAAACGACTCTACGGGAAATCGCCCTCACATTCTCCTCGCTTAGGGAAAACTTATAAATGTTGCCATTATAAATAATTTATTAGCACAATATTTACAGCGTGTTATCACTGTGATATGGGAGTCGTGCAATTATTTTATTTGTCTGTACGAGCTGTTAAAGTTTTAAGTGTAATAAAATCATTTTAAATTTCAATTTAAGATATATTTTTGTAATTCATATTAAACATTACAGTTTTTTTTAGTAGCGAAAGTGTTGCATGTTAGAAAAAAATACAATGTAATGGTAACGCTCCATGGACCACAGACCATAGCAATAAAGAATTGTTTACACTGATATTGTTTTTGTGTGTTAATAGGGAATATGCATATTTTATATCTTCAATTGATTATTATTTACGAAATTTTGTTGTTTGAAGTACAAAATCAGTTTCAGTCATCGTTCTAGATTCACAAAAAGTCTAGTTTCATACAAAATCGAGATTCACTAAAAATTGCAAAAGAACTAACCTATTTTACTCACAAATACTACTATTTAAACTGTTTGAATATTGACGCCTGACGTCACTTTATATTTCCAATGGTGACGCGCTTTGAAAGATCTAATTTCCCTCCATTATTTTTCACTTTTATATGATATTTTATGCTTAATTACTAAAAAAGTATCGTATATAACATATTTGAGATAACATTTATGCATACTACCAATTGTCAGTATAGAATCGTTTTGAAGTTTCACAATTGCTTAGTACTTATCCGAATCTGTTTTTACTACAGATTATAATTCACCTTTCATAGTTTGTTACTGGTCTGTGGACAGGGCCGTCCGTATGTGTATATTGTCTTTGCTCGTGTGTGTGTAACCATAACTAATAAAACACACATTGTATGTGTGGCACGATTATCGGCACTGAGGTAGTTTCGTTAACATTTATATATTTGCTGTTTTATTAAATACAATGATGGACTATGATATGACAATAATGTTGTGTAGTGAAATATTTTGAAATGTTTAATATATATAGAATAATACAGTGAAGTAGCTACTTTTGTGTTGCTTATATGAAATTTGTAACTGGTGTTTAATGTAATAAGTTTTTTAAAGGAATATATAAATTTTTAACGCTAGGAACCAGCTTTTTTCATTTAGCACGTCGACAGCGAAATTTCAATAGGTGTTTATTTATTTATATTTTTTTTCTTTTCTTAAAGAAGATCGAAAAGAAAAAATTTTTTCAGCAGAATGGTCAGATAAAGGTCCATATTCTACTCGCTGTCAAATATGTCATACTTCATACAGAAAAAATGGTTTGACAGCTCTGGAAACTTGATTTTAGTTTAGTTGACGTTCTAGTCTAAGAGCGCGGCCACACAATGCGGCAACGGTGCGGTGCGTCGCCGGAGCGGTGTCGCAACGTCATCCTACATACAAATTACTATACCATGTCACACGACGCGTTGCGCCGCCGCACGGCGTCGCACCGCAAACGCGCCAGAGTTGTGACCTGCGAGACGAAGCGGGGAGGGGTAAAATATATTGCCACACCATGCCACACGTATGGCACCCTATAGCTCGAAATATTTGAGGTGCGGCGCCGCACCGCACCGTTACCGCATCGTGTGGCCGCGCTCTAAGACGCTCTAAGACGCTTTCTCGACCAATCACAATTGCGTCATCGCTTCATCTTTTGTTTTTGCGCCTATAATACGCAAGTAATAATGTGGTAATTCGTGGATATTTTGGCATGAAATATAACTGTTATATTCATATATGTTAGAGATTTACATATAGAGAGAAATGCTAAGTTATATTCCCGGAATAAATAAGAATAGAAGCCAGTACAACGCTATATAAATTTGCTTGTGTGAAATAAAATAGATCGCAGTTACTCCCAATAACGATAATATGAGATAAAGCTATCCCAACCTTATTTATTCCGTCTATATATTTCTCCGTATATTAGCTTTTGTCTATTACACGCATTTTAATTTTACGATTCGATTCGCACACGATTCTAATGGATTTTAATATAACGCTTTTATAGTTTATGGGCTTCATTTAGTAAATTAATAATATTTGTTATTCTATTGAAATTTTGTTTGGCGTATTTTTTTTTATGTATACCACAATGTTAATAATTAAATGTTATTTTAATGTGTATCTAGTCTAGTTGTATATAATTGTAATTGTTTTACAAAAGTAAGAATATATTGTCTTTTGTAATTTTGTAGAAGTCGTTACAAGATTTCGTGTTTTATTTCGCACCTTATATATTTTCCCCAATAGAAGGTAGTGTTTAAATTAGATTGTTTTATTATCATTCTTTTAATATACCATATTTTTAATGCTTTTGAGTGCAATAAAGTTTTATAAATATTTGAGAAAAATAAAATAGCGCCACAACTTTTTAAGGTCTGGGCAGTTTTCTGTATCTATTATTGTATATGATATGTTGCAACTTAGCAATATTTATGGCTATGCGGCCGACAGCATTAAGGACCTATCCGGTCGCCAAACTCCAAAAAAGTACATTGTTTCTTTCCATTTTTCGTCATCGTTACTTGAAGTAGGGCGAATGGAAAAAAAATATGGTGGAGTTCAGTAGTTTATGTATCCATCTTGAAAGATCGAAACACGATTTAAATAACTTCGCTCGATAGAAAAAAAATCCAAACATAGCCAATTTTTGACACTTTGAATTCATTTTATGACGGAAATGTATACAGAACATGATTTTGAAATTTACACGATATATTTTATCGCAAGCCAAGTAATCCATTTCAGAAAAAGTTGATAAAATACATTAATTTAATGTTCTACATACCTAATTGTTGTTACGGGCCGGCGAACCCTAGTGCTACAGCTCTCCACTGCGCCCCGCAGTCCAACCCGAGACACTGACACGGCAATTCGTGCTGGGATAGGGCCTTAAGGGGAAGGGGATGACAGACTGGTAGAGGATCATGCCTTTAGGTTGTAGAAAGTGCACATCACCCTTCCACAACAGGAAAAATAAAAGTCGAATTTCGAAATATTTTTATTGTTTATTAAATAATATCCTAATAACAGTATTGCACAATTTAGAATAATTTTAGATTAACTATTCTATGACTAGAGTGAATTGATACTTCTAATTAATCCATGCCCAGCTTTGGGATGTAATTCAGTTTTATCCTTGTAGATAAAAAAAACGTTTTTAAATTTTAGCTATGAATGTAAAAATATGAATGTTCTACATAATTTATTTAAGTTGTAAATAAAATGAGAAAATTTTACGATTATGATAAAGTGTCTAGTAGACTTGAAATTGTTCATCGTTCAAATTATTTATTATGGATGATTAATAATTATATAATATACAGCAAAATACGTTATTTTTGATATTACGTTAGATTAGCTTAACCTCTTTTCCTTGGATCTATGCCGAACTATCATAAACTTCTTAATGGAGAACAAGAAAGTTATACAATACAACAAATTATTGACAAAACCTCAATTTTGTCTTGTCAAATCTGTAGTATTTTCTTTTCTATAGACAAGTCGGTAAGACTCCTGTGCCTGACACATTTTTGGGGTATTGGGGTCAATACATGCTGGCATCATCGCGATTCACCATATCCGTTGTCTGCACAACCGTTATATGGACAAACAACCTTATTGTGATCCACGCTTAAACTTCTCTGCTTTAAATTATTAATTAACGAAATTATTTAAGAGAATTTATTTTTGTGTCCGCATTTTACAGTTGTACAATATAATGACGCTTCGCTTTTTACTATATTCCCTTCAGTCCATCACCATCCTCATCAATGGCTGTACAGCCCCTGTGGGCTTTAGCGTTAGCCTCCGCAAGTATACTCTTTCGTCATCTATCTCGTGCTTCTTGCGTCCAACTTTCAACATCTGTTGTTTTGAGGTCCTTGACAATTCCTTTTCCATTCGCTTCGATTATAGTTTATATTTATTATAGTTTCTGGCTAGAGCAGTCTTTGGTCTGCCAATATTAATTGCATCAATCCTATTAAAAATGTTTACAAAAAAGAAACAGAAATCTGAGGCCCAGACCTATAAGGTTGTAGCGACAATTTCTTACATATTATTAATAAAATATATGTTCGAAGACAGTATTTTATGTACATATTAGACTGAGCAACTCTTGTAATAATCCTATTTACATCGTAAAACATAATGCAATCGTCAAGCATACATTAATAGTTTGAAAAGGTTGGTAGAGATGTACCTATAGCACGGCCTTAGGCCTCTCGGCCTATCTATCGAGGCCCTACCACAACCCAATGGATGAAGTTAGCGTCCTCACGCCACTTCGACAAGCCTTAACACCATCATGGTGTGTAAATGCATCAGCTTTGACGACAAAAAAGACACGTTCTAACAGATCCGCATGATCCAATGACTATAGCTAATAACACATTAAAGCCACCTCGTAACAAAGTCAGATTAGGGTAAAAATACCGCCTTCACCGGGGAAGGCGGAGTTCTTTACTACGTACTCACTCCAGTGAGATTCCGTCCTACCCTTCAGGTGATTGACTACCCTGCGGCAGCCCAAGCCGACGTCTGAGTCGCGCAGGCCCTTGCGCTAATTAACAACAGCAAGCAAGTCACCGCGAACTATGAATCCGGTATGTCGAAATACGTTTTTGTCATACGGGTCACACAGCGTTGTCTCGGCTCAGACTTGTTTATGTATTATTAACGAAGTTGATCGAAGATTGAACAATCACCATCAAAAGCACGGTTTTAATTATAGGTCAACTTGGTTACAGGCAAAAGAAACTATATTCTAATTAACAAGTTCATACAGAAAAATGGTTATACAGCTCTTTAAATTTCAAATTCTTTCATAGAACATTGGTCACGGCTGACGCGTTTGTCCTAAAAACTGTTGACGGTGCGTGATATACCGACAACCCAGAAAGAGTAATATTATGTAGCATTTAAGATGCTATATTATATACAATAAATTAGTTTTTATATTGGTGAATCGTATACAGATCTCGCATCAAAACTAAAATGTAATTTATACGTGTAGTGTAATGTATTCATCAGTAAAAATATATGCTTCTAAATTGACATTTACTTCTCAAATCAAGCGTAGAACGGGCGAGAAGAACCGGAAAGCTGTCCGTCACTCTTTTAAATGCCCACGGTGTTTATTTAACATAATATTTGTAAGCACTTTCCATTACATAATGTTCCTCATCACATGTGAAAGCAGAACACTCTCTCAAAGTGGCGAAGACGTGAAATTCTGATCCTACACGTTCCTTAGGTTTTTTGGTTCCTTATATATTCACTATTTGTGATAACAGTAGGTCTTGGGGAAGGGTTTTTAGTTTTCCTCTGTCAATATCAACTAAACTATCTTGATATTATTTCGGATCGCTCATCAGATTACAGGAAGGGCATGTTATCTCTTAGGTTCTTTGGTTATAATTCGTAATTTAAAGTATTATTTTGTAATGCTATTATAAGCTTTATATTATAAGGATTATGTTTGTGCCTATGGCCTTTTAGTGCGGCTACAAATAAATAAATTATCATTATATTACATATACGAAGACTTCAGACATCACATAAGAACTTGAATATACTGCAGTCTGGCAAACATAAGGTAATTAAGGTATAAAATATAAATGTATTATTAAATAAAAAATAACCTATATCTCTAATACTTAGACTATCTTACATAAATGATGAAAACTCATGTATTATCAAACTGAGTGCTTTCGTAGAACCGTCTCCCAATACTAGTGGTGGGGTACTCTGAGCTTGCTGTGCTTGTGGGGGGTAAATAGGGGGGGTAGTAGAGATGAGATATGACGTCACATGGTTGTGGGGCTCGGGCCATGCTGAATAGAGCCTCGGGGTCACACACGAACTTGTAGACGTAGCGTTCGCCTGTAAAAAATCATAGCTTTCAACAGACTTAAAATAGCTTCAAGGACTTCAGAGTTTGTTTTACGAGGATGGTTTCAGACTGTCTGTGAACAGAACTCTATTTTTGAAGTGAAACTTCTTTAGGCGCATGATGGTAAATTTTTTACGGATGAAACGCAATATAATAATATTAGCGTCACGAAGACATGCAGCGATTTTGTCGAAGAAAAGGGAGTAAGCGATTGAGACCGATTAAGAGAGTGTGAGAAGGGCAACCTTATAGATATTCTATTTTTAAAATTTCGTAAAGAGAATTTATGAAATATTGGTATTTTATATTTTATGCAAAATAATTTATTAAAATCTCAAGACGAATAGTAAATTAAAATTCCACGTGCTTTTATTATCGAAGAAATAAATAAAAAAAACTAAATATGTAATTTGTATTAATTTTCGACACTTTTAAAGACAATTAAATTCATTAAATTCCTAATATATCTTCCTTTTTCCCTCCTTCTAAGTCTCGGAAATCTAAAGTTTTAGATTTGTATAAATATAAACAAGACTTAAAAATTAGTTGGCCAAAGAAGTTTCACTTCTGACATGAGTTTTGTACGCACGCACTTTTTTTTTATAAACCGTTAAGTTTCCAGAGACAGGCTGCACAAATCTTACAATTTAATTACTAACATTAATGAAAATATTTAATTATATATTTTAAAGAGGCAACTAACGAAACACATGCACAAAACATAATACATGCATGCATTCAAAGGGAAACATTACAAGATAAAAGAGATAAGAAATAATACAATCAAAATATGACAATAAACTAGATTAAGAAATGCAAATATTAAATCAAATATGCAATTTAAATTTTTTTTTATATTCTTTGCAATTGTTATTGGTGACGGAAAATGGCTGCAGCCATGTCTCGAGTCTCGAGTACACATGCATCGTTTACTGCAGATAGAGATCTGTTTAGAGGAGCATTACAACCGTTGGTCCTCGCCACGCGAACGTAGTTAAGTTGTGATGTGTTTCTCTTCAAGAGCAAATTAACTTGATTTAAATCAATTGGTAAATGGTAAATATTGACATATTGTTTAACAATCTAATTTTGTGTGTTAATTTAACAATGTAATTTTGACTTAGTTTTTATGAGTTTATTCTATTTATGAGTCTATTTAGTTTTCACTGTTTGACTGTGTTTGATTCCTTGTTTGTAATTATTAATAATGATTTCAAGGGGAAGGAGTTTAAATTTTTAAAAGCAAGGTAGAGAGAAAGAGAGAGTATTTAGACATTTTGACAACAATTATAAATAACTTAACTGATCTTATTATTAAGATAATTAATATGACATTTGCGTGCCTATTTTTAAATGCCTGATTGTGCGTGTGTGTTTTTTTGTAATTACTCAATCTGAATGTACCACTGTCTTTGCAAATAAACGATTTTTTATTATTAATGTCTTGTAACTGTGGACTTTAGCTCAGGATTGAAACCAAGTGGACACAGTTTTTATCTGATATAAATAGATAGATTTCGGAAGTTCTAGGTTGGTTATTATTATTATTATCTAACGTCATGACCTCCTTTTCGAAGAGGGGGTCCTCGGCGTCGCTTTCAGGGAGGAAGGCATTGGCAGATAAACAGAAACACAAGCTCCCACCTTTTCAGAATGCCAAATCATAAAATACACATTTCTTTCCAAAGCTAATAATATTGTATAGAAAATTACCTGCAACTTTCTGCATGATCCCCTTCTCGTAGTAGTATCTTAAAGATCGTGATAGCTTATCATAGTTCATCGCTGGTCGATTTTTTTGAGCGCCCCATCTACGCGCCACCTTTAAATATATTGTTACAATAAAGATTGCTTTTTACCAATAATGAATTTATTAGCATTATATATTTATAGCTTTATTTAATATTAATCTTTTATTAAACAAAACAATTAAAAATTAATAAAAAGAAAATTTAAACAGTTTGGTCCCTGTGTCAGTACCTTTAACGCTGGCAGCATTTCCTCGCTGTATTACGATACTTATCCATTGAGCGAGGAAATCACCAGCCCTGGGGTCATCGGTACTATCTACCAGGCGCAACTTACTTTACTGACGACCCGACACACGTCATAAATACAAAAATTTGAAACTTTGAGCAAAAATCGAATTGTGTTTGTAAACCATTCTAGAAACACAATTTTTTTATATAGAAATCAATCCAAATCGGAGTTTAGTAGGGGTTTCATTACCCACACAAGCACATAATAAATTTAAGACAATTGTTATTTAATGTATTGGATATGAGTGGCTAACGATGATATCATTTATGTTTAAAGAATAACTTTATTTTCTCATTACAAAAAAAAATTTACATGAGAATACGATCGAGATACACGTCGCCATCAGCCGTCCCAATTTTAGTCTACTAGGCTCATTCTGATATGTATCTCTAATGACCTTTTTAATTGGTTAAACGCGCTAGTAGTAACGCGTTTAAACAACATGTACCGGTAACATTGTAACCGGTAATATTGACTAAAATCAAAGATCCCGGCTGAATTCTATTGTATTAGGTACCTCATAACAACGTCATCGGCTGTTACAACTATCGGTTTTTACGACCAAATGTGTAGTAAGTAGTCCCTTCGATGTTATAATTGATTCTGACTGTAAATAAATTTGTATAAATTATGTAACTCCTCATAATATAATATAATTATATTAGTATCCACCTCTAGAGGTCAGCATTTATCGTGATGACTAAATATATATTTTCATGCGTTACGTTGGGTCTAGGTTCGATTCAGGGAGGGAAAGGCACAGAAGTAAGTACCTATCATAATTTTTCAGTTATAATTGATACCCTATACTCAATTACATTGATGATTTTATAGTACAAACTACTACTAGGCCCATCTGATGTCACTCGCAAGTGTGTTTCCGTCTTTTTAATTGATTGTACTTGTTTATTTTACGGTAGTTATTTGCGTAGGTGTATGAAATTCAAATTTGCTCTCCCTATCTCACCTCTTCAGGCTCGTGAAGCTTGAACTCCAGACCCCGTCCGGTCCAGGCGACACAACGCGCCCCTTCCGCCAATAACGAGACCAGGAACTGCCACAGCTGCAGTGCTCCTCGACGACCACCACCTGATATGTACTTAGAATTAATAATACGACTAGTTTTTAGAACCCCACAGGGGATAGGCCTCTAACACCTTCCAAAGTTCTTGCTTGTCGAGTTCATGTGGCGCTGGCCAGCTGCACCAGGGAGCTTAGTCAAGATGCCTTAACAGTAGTGTATGTAGAAAGTCAAAAACTAAATTTGTATGAAAATTTGTTGACACGAACTGTCATTTTCAGGACGTTTGACCAACGGCGTCGCAGGCGTCCTCGCGCCTTCGTCCCGTCATGCCTATGTAGGACTCCTTCACTCCACCGATTGTCTTTAGGTCTCCACGTATACGAGTACGAATACGCAAGAATAGATTTAATGAGAAGTAACGTACCTGAGTGAGTTGTCGTCACATGTGGTGATGCAGCTTCTTTCCTAGAGGTGCTGGGCGTTTGACACAGCGAACTGCTTACTGACAGACAAAAAATTTAAATTTAAAAATATCACAAGATAGAATATATACTATATAGCTTTTTAAATTATTTTTATTCATTATTCCATTACTTGTCTTACTGTGTGCAACTTCTGGAGTTTTGCTAGTAAGCTGCTAGTGTGTTTTAATATACATAATAATAATCTAGTTTTTAATCCGCCTAAAAATATTTATTTATCTATTTCTTAGCAATTATTCTTATTTTTACACAAGACTTCTTTACACTTTAATTTTTACTGTTACTATTTTTTCTGCTATTATTAATAAAAAAAATCTTTTTTTTTTGCGTCTGAGGCGCAAACTTGCTTTTGAAGTCTCTAGCAGATTGACCAACGCTTCGTCAGCATAATGCTAAGCCAGTGTCAGTTACAACAACAATACACACACACATTACACACTTAAAATGTATTCTTTAAAAGTATTGTTATTTTTTTTCTTTTTATGATTATATTATTTAATGTGTTTCCATGTATGTGTTTCGTTAGTAATAAATGTTACGTCTTTGTCTATTTTGTCTATACCTATTATAAATGCTTATACAACGTTTATATGTAAACAAATCGTTAACATCATACCAAGTCTGTCGCCCCATGGATCTACAGAGCTGCTAACTGCTTCTTCATGCGTTTTATCTTCTTCCACACATTTGTTGTAACTACCGCATCTGTAAAATATATGATATTTTTAAGAAGAACATTAACATTGACGTATTATACGAAAATTAACCTAAAGTTAAAAAGACACAGCACTGATCTGGTATATACAGTGGATTTTATTATTACGACCTTGGTTGTAGTGCTTTAAATAATACAGGATTTTATTTTTACTCTATATTAACTATAAATGACTTTATTTTCTGTAAGTAGGTTTTATATACAAACACTTTTACATGTCAAAAATTTTTTATAAAAACTTTAGATGAGTTCGACGTTTCCTATATGCACTACTCTGAGAAGAAACGCCCGAAACAAACTCAGAGGTCTCAGTCTATTTTAAAGTCGATTATCAAATTATTACGACCTTGATGATCTGTAATGGTCCTTTGAGTAAATAACCACATAGATTTTAGTTGTACCTCTCTATTAACTGCACGCACTTGTCAGTACGACAATAGAGTATATAATAATATACTTGTTAATATAGTAATAATAGTATACTTGTTAATTGATACGTAACGAATTAAGGCAATGTAATAGTTGAAGAGAGTGCCTACGTCTGGCTATATCTACTCTTAGGGCATAACTCGGATGATTTAAGAAATCGTACAAACTTGACTCGTACAATAATAGTAAAATGATGTTATTATCATATTTAGTTACGTAAATAAATTCACATTTATAATCGAATTAAGTAATTAAATATGCTTAGGGTTAGTAAAAATAATAAGATATTATCTTCATTTTATCAGTAAATATCGTTTATAATCTATTTCCATGTCATATTGTAAACCGTCAATTGTTTTTATCTATAAACAACCCAATAAAATACTGACCTCTGAAGATAATGTTCACGATATTCCCTAAATTCACGACTTTCCTCATTCTCGCCTTTGCATCTGAAACCATTGTTGTTTAAATCATATATTTAATTTACCAAGCTGCTGCGACTGTATACGCGAAAATTTATTACGCCTTTTTGAAGGAACGGAAAGGTAGTAATTTCCGTTCCTTCAAAAGGCTTCCTTCCTCCTTACAATTTCTAACAAATTACTAAATTTGTTACGCAAATTGTAACAGCTCCCTAAAATCCCGATAATTTTTATGAACATTTTCAATTAAACAAAACCTAAATAAATAAGCTTCTGTGCCAAAGACTTTCCAGGGTTAGGAATCACTGGAAGCAGCTGGAGGAGGCCTTGGTGCCACAAATCCAAGCTGTACTCTTGTACAGCTTGGATTTGTGGAGAGCTGTGCAGCAAAACCTTCTTAAAGAACTTTTTTATTTCCATATATATTTTTGTAAACTTCCTCTTGTATTAGTTGAAATAAAGGCTTTGAAATTGAAATATATAAGCTTTAGCGCTTAGGAGAAGAAGAATCGAACACATTTTTGACATACTTAAGTCTCAACTCTAAATCTTACCTTTTAATCTTACTAAACTAAAACATTAAAAAAACATGTTAAACACGGGGCGGCTATATGTATGAACTATTTAAACTCAAAAGAAACTTTGCATTTTTCCTAAAAAAACTCTGACCTTACTAAAGCTTAGATTAAATCAAAGTAAAGTAACATTGTAAAGGCTTATTTATTTATTTATATTACCACGCCTTTCCCGAAGAGGTAGGCAAAGACCAGGGACCTCCACTCGCTACAATCCTGACAGATGATTCTCGCTTCATGACATTCTAAATGCATGCATGTCGGTTATGGGAACTATGAACCTGTCCCTAAAGCTTTACAAACTATACTACAACAAATTGGATTTTTTTTTTAAAGACAATTCACACCAATTGACCTACCCACCATGCTAAGCTGGTGAAACTTGTGTTATGGGTACTAGGCAACGGATATACATACATATTATAGATAGATAGACATATAAATACATATTTAAACATCCAAGACCTAAGCACAACACATTTGGTCATCACATCGATGTTCGTCTCAGCCGGGAATCGAACCCGGGACCCATGGATTCGCAGTCAGGGGTACTAACCACTAGACCAATGAGTAGTCAATTGAGTCGAATTACTGTAGAGGTTTACTTACAATTGTGTCTCGATGTGTGTGTGCGGATACTGTGCGTGCGTGTGTGCCGCCGGCGTAGGAGCTTCGTAACGTCCGGGGCTTCCTACCTCTCTATTACAAAACCCAGTTTATTTATTAATTTGAAAATAAATCAAGCTACAGTTAGCAAAAAACATTATGGGTCTTTACCCATACCATAAGTATAGTATACCCGTAAGTCTTTACTTAAGACGAATATTTATTGATTTATAGAGCAAATTAATTATTTTGGCATGTTATTTGAATTTGATGGTAATTTTAGTATGTACATAATTATTTTTGAAGTTATACTTCTTTAGGCGCGTTATGAAAAATTGATGAGAGTGAAATTTTACGATGCGCGCGCACCGTGACACAAAATTAACAGAATAAAGTTGCCCAAGGAAGATGCTACGGCATTGGACATATGTAATTTAAAAACAACATTCGAATAATAATAGAATTTATGTTACACTTAATGTAAGAGAATAATAATAAATATTTATTTATTAAATTTTTCAAATGTAAACTGAACTTTATTGACTATAATGACTCCTTTTCCAGTCTTTGATTATTTAATTTTAATATTTGCATGCAATCAAAAACTATTTTTAATAATGCCAAAGAAGTATAACTTCTTACGCGCGTACGTAAGTACACGCACTCCTTTTTTTTATTGTTGTGTGTCTATGAGCTTCCGCTATTATATAAATAGTATTCAGCGTCCATTCAGCAATTATTGGCTGAAGGAATTCTAGTACTGGGGGGTAGGCACGAGATAATTTCTCCTAAAGATACACTAATAACGTTTGGTACCGGCAGTATCGTTATACCTGTGCTGGTAGTGCAGGGCTCCCCAGGGCGTGCAGGACAGCGGGAAGGGGGGCTGCGACATTGCTCATCTCAACTCTCACAGCACCAAGCCATTCCTGAAATTTATTTGTCCGTAACTATCGTGGGATAATATTACGATTTTTTTAAGTTCACTGAAATATGTATCTCAAAATATGAATAGCACCAATTCGACTTAGGGTCCTTCAAGAAAAGAGTGTAAAAATCCTAAAAGCCCGGCAACGCACTTGCGAGCCTTCTTGGCATGTGAGTTGTCAGGTGAGCCACCTGCCCCTTTTGCAGTTATATTAAAAACTAAATACTAATCACATGTCTGTCGAGTTGTGTATATCGTGCTTATGTGGTCCCTAAAAAACTTGAACATAAAAATCAATGAATTAAAAAAATGCAGAAATGTATTCCCACTACGAGATTACTGTGATCCTTTATTCACTTATTATATAACTATGCGGTGCCCCCGCAAACTTTGTTTTATTCTTAATGTGATTTTACTTAGCCTACCTTTTTAGTACATACCAACATGGAACATTTTGCTATGCTTCCCCAGAGACTGTTCGGTTTTTCGGAATGAAACCTTTTTAGGTTTTAAAAAATAGGGATAGATCGTAGAGGGTAGATGAAAATTAAGGGTTGTATATATTTTGTATTCTGTATCATAAAAAAATAAAAACCAAAAAATGTATCAAAAAAATAAATATAAAAAGTTAGGGGTGGACCGGACCACCCTTAACATTTAGGGGTTTGAGCCGATTCTCAGACTTACTGAATATGCATAAAAATCCTTAAGAATTGGTCCAGCCGTTTTGGACGAGTATGGGAACGAACATTGTGTACACGAGAGTTTAATATATTATATTAGATTAGTCCAGTGGCGCTACAACCCTATATGGGTCCCTATCTTTGATCATTTTTATTATATACTGCTTAGCCTTCTGTCTGATACATGTCATCGATTTTTTAGGGTCGGGATTCCTTACATATGATAGATAATGCCCTTAGCGTAGGGGCAAGTGATAATTGCTGCTAAATATCCATTGGTGCATCGCCGGGATTGGAACACACGACTAAGGATAAGGGTTGCACGCTTAAGCCACTAGGCCGACACACATTCATTTAGTTCTAAGGTCTCGTAATAATTTTATAGCTTTTTGAAGTTGGTAAAGTTTAATTTTACCAAAATTAACTGTCAGATCAACGAAGAGATAAGGTTCCCGGGTAATTCCGCTCAATTTTGGTAAAAACGAGTCCATCAGTTTCGCAGCGGGTGACTGACAGACACATTAACTTATCGTTCACCATAAATATTGATATTGTATTTGATTTAAGCTACCACCATTTAAATATAGCTTCCTTAACAATATTTGTTAAAATTATTTATTACTGAAAAAGTGTAAGTATGTATAGATGTTTTTTTTTTCGACGTTAGGAGCAGAGCAAGCCAATTCGACGTGTAATTTTCTTTCAGAGTTGTGTTGGCCTAGTGGCAGCATGCGAATGATTCACCTTGATACTACGTGTTTGTGTGTTGTTTCCACAGTAATGTTGATTCTTATATCAGCTTCCTGATAGCAGATAGAGGCTTTTGTTATTCATTAGTTTTTATTTAATTACGATAATTAACTGTTTTAACATGTGATGAGGATGATGAAGCGGTAAACAAATGTTTGTAAAAATGGCGATTTAATAGAGTGACGGAGAGTTTATTGCTAGTTCTTCTTGTCCGTCTACAATTTAAGAACTGGCAGTTAATGTAAATTTAGAAGCATTTTACTGACTTGATTATTGTTATCTCTCTCATCCTGATTCCCGGATGTGCACCAATGGACTGTTTGATTTTATAAAGAACTATCGCTCATACAATGAAGTATCAAAGAAAAAAACTATATATATATATATATATTTAATAACATCCATCAAATAGTGGAAAAATACTGTTATTTTTGAGGTTTCTAATGTGATGTCGTCAGTAATTAAATTTTTTCCCTACGAGATTTATCAAAATAATGTACTAAGTATTGTACACATTTGAAAGGTCTACAGAAAACTCCGCGATGGTATATGTCTATCTCTTATGGATATCCCACAATAAAATTTTTTTTGTCATTTGCTTTTTACGACAAGTAATGGCTAATTTTCGAAGCGATTTTAACCAATACATCATTAATCCTTATCCAATTAAATACATTGTTGATTTAATATAGATCTAAATGGCCCTTTACAGCATATGATTTAATGAATATTTTCGAAGATATTACAGATTTAAAAATTGCGGGACGTAGCGTTTGCCGCGGTACCGGCCGACCGGGGCGGCGCCGGCGGGAGCGTGCCTATTAATCTATAGCACTTTGAATTTAGTATCAGCATTGCATCTGTGCGAAGCCGGGGCGGGTCGCAAGTAAATTATATTTTAAAGTAACTTCATTCAACGGAATCACCTTTTAAAAATGTTTCTAACGTTACTTTAAAATAAATGCATTTATTTCATTTCTGAGATTCATGTGTGTAACACAACCTCGTCTCCCTAAACACATTAAGTAATAGGCGCCCCGTGACGCGCCCTGCTTATATTGTATTAGATCTTTATTAGCTAAAGGAAATTCTTGTACTGCAAAACAATTATTACAAAAATTGAGTTAATTGTAATGTCCCGATGCGCATTATTACAATTTATAATCCCCTAACATTGTTTAAAGTCGGTTAATAAGAACATCCCTCAGTGGAAGTTTGAAGTATTATATACTACGGAACGAATTTAACGATACTAAATCCAATATTTTTATAGTGAGAAACAATGGCAGCAATTACGCGTTAACAAACATTATTTTACAGTACTAGTTCTAAAGAATAAATCAAAATACAGATGCTCGTAAGAAAAACATTCGATATTTAAATGTAAGCAAATTTCCCGCCTCAAATGACAAGTCGCCGGATATTGCGAGTTCACGGCAATTCCACATTCTGAGCGTGTTCCGGTAACTAAGTTTACGCGGGAGAATATCATTGATAAAACAGAGTGTACGTGAAAAATATTACAGATTGTACCAGGTATTGTAAAGCTACTAATTATAATATAAATGGCGTCTACTGCTATTCGTAATATTATTTAATTTCAATTTATTGAACTTGAATTCGTAAATCATGTATTGTTTCAGGATGCCTCAGTTATAATGAAATGAAAAAACTTACAAATATTTTCTTTTGATTCAATAGGTTAATTATTAGAATAACCATTAAGTTTATATAGATTTTCCTGTAGAAATTGATCCTTTATATGAAAAAAAATATGAAAATTTCGCCGTGAAGAGATTTAATAATATAAAACACGTAATGATTTATAATGTTTTTTTTTTTTTATAGAACGGGGGGCAAACGGGTAGGAGGCTCACCTGATGTTAAGTGATATTGCCGCCCATGGACACTCTCAATGCCAGAGGGCTCGCGAGTGCGTTGCCGGCCTTTTAATGTTAAAACGAGCGACGCCTACGAAAATTTGGTTATAAAATTGTGATTTAACTATTAATTACTTAAGATGTCATGTGGAACATGGTGTAATGGTTGCAGCTCCTTACAAACGTTGTGTAAAACAAAAAACTTGGCGACTAAAAAGAGTGGCTGAGAATTTATTTCCAGTTCTTCTCTTCCGTTCTACGCCCTTGATTTGAGAACTGGCAGTAAATGTAAAATTAGAAGCATTTAATATGTTTTGTTCGACGTTCATAAGTTTTTTTTTATATAATAGGGGGGCAAACGAGCTTGCGGGACGTCCAAAAAGGGCAGTCTTCGCAGTCCATAGACACCCATTTTTAGTGGGTGCGTTGCCGGCCTTTGAGGGAGGTCAAACATTTGGAGGTCGTATCTCTGAGGGAAGACCCCCACCGGGAGTCGATTCCACAGTTCGCTAGTTCGCAAAAGAAAATGCCTTGTGATACGGACTGTGGAAGACGTCCAACCATCAAGATGATGGTGATGACGTGTATATTATGTTACCTATATAAATAAATGATTTTGATTTGATTTGTAACAATGAATGATATTGAATCGTACTATTCTTAAGAATACGTTTCATACTTGGAACGTTTATAATTCAGCAGGATCTTAGAGCTATCATAATTTAAAATAGACTTTTCATAAAGTTTCCAATATTTTCCGCCAGTTGAAACCGGATATGACGAGAAGTCGCTTTACCGGAAGTCGCTTCGAAGTCATTTCCCGCGCCGCAACATCCGGTATCGACATCTAATTATAATCCAGTCTCAAACCTCTATATTTTCAATTGATCTCTATAAACTAACTTTTAATTGATTTAAGAATCTTCTTTTAGATTATAGTATAGTCTAGTTTTAGTTAGTATATTTCTAATGTTACTTGTAATTTTGTGTTACTTTATATTATGTGTACTTTACGCTCCGTGTTTCTTTTCTATTTTTCCACTGGGCTTGGGCTGCCTGTAAGAAGTCGACTATTAGCGATAAGGCTGCCCGTTGGCTAATAACTTATGTAACCTATTTTATATATGTATGTTGGCTTATTACTCTACGAATCGGAGTCATGGACGATTCGAGCTTGACAGGAAAAGGATTGATTGATGCGTCGCTTACTATGGAGCGTTAAAAGAACTAACCAATCAATATTGCATAGAGTTCGTTTGTTCGTACTTAAATAAATGCTATAGAACCGTTCTAACTTACTTTGGTCCTATCTATTTATTTATTTAGTTATTAAGTTTACGACATCATACATAGTCCTAAATCTACTGATTATTTTACAAAATATTCCGTCTAAAATGTATGACAATTAAAGTAAACATAAGTTTTACAAAAAATAGAAATTAAAAATTGAAAAAAACCATTAAAACATATACAAGATAAGATATGCACACAGTAAAATAAAATAAAATTACTAGAAATTTGTGGGTACTTAAAGCAGAAAAAAGAAAAATCATCAGCAAAACAGCGAATTAGGTTCGAGAAAGGCACCCAACAATGCTTTCTCTAAAACCGATCAGCCCACTACCGAATATATCCAGCTCCGGATAAGTTGTGT